CTGAGGTATTTATGTTACTGATTTAACGATTCTGAACAAGTTCCTTCAAATGGTTTGCAAATAACAAGTCTTAATGTAGGTATGGGGTTATCTTGAGCTGGCTGCCTGTACCACAGGCAGGGACACATTTAGGAAAGTACCTGCTGTGGGCTACTCTCTATTAGGAGGAGCTAATGGAAGCCATCTTTCTGTTCCCCTTCACCAAATGGTCACAGTCAGCAGAAGGTATAGGGCTAGACTGAGATTTCTCCATTTATCTTTATGCACTTCATGCATTTAAATTAGGATCGAACCCATTGAGGCTCCTTCTGTATTCAGTGGAGAGAGATGAGTACCTCTGTTTAGAGTTCAGTTTAACTACAGTCTTAATCCTGAGGTGCCAAAGCCTCTCCACTGGTATGAGAGCAGTTCAAGGTGGCTGACATACCAGTGTTGGGTTCCTAGGTTAAAATTGAGTGAGAGCCTTTTACTGCCTCACAAACCTTCAACCCTGGTAGAAGGAAAGTGAGGACTAGTCAGTGAATCCAGTGCTGTGCCTGACATTTCCTCTCAGACAGTGTAAATTTTTTTGCTTTCTTCTTGCTGCAGCTTATTGCAAAGCCTTAGCTGAGCTCATACACAGTATCCTTGGAAGATAAAGCAAGGCTGGGGTCAAAGAAAAGAGGGATCAGCATGGAGGAAGGGAATGCTGGTGGAGTGAGGACAAGTGAAAGGCATATTAGAGAGAAAGAAATTTGCAGTTGGGTCAAAAGCACGGAACAAAGGAGCAAACTAAACAAATATTAATTACAATTAGTCAGATTTCTGTAGGATGTTTCGCCACATCTGGTCAAGTTAGGCTGCTGATTCTCTGCCACAACTAGAACGCTGCATATGAGGGATGGTGGGAAGCAGTGCAAAGCCATCACATTAGGCTACTGTACCCCTTTAGTCGGATGGGCTCCAGCTGCTGAATGGCAGCTGTTCTTACTGGATGTTGATATCCCTAGACATCTGCTATATTAAAAAAAAACATGTAATCTCTGCGGTTCTGAACTATGCCAGGACAAGCACAGAACCGCCTTCAGACTTTACAGAGGCACCAGAATAATTTGACAGACATAGGTGGTTCCTATGAATTTGGGCCAGTAAGTGAAACAGAAGAGTCTGGTAAGAAACATGTGAAAAGAGAGAAAGTAACTATGTGCTCTCATGACATTTTTAGTAGAGTTTTGCAGACTCAGAAAGCTCAGATAATTTAACTTTAAATATGTTTAATTCCTTGTCCAAATATAAAATAATCCTTTTATGGTTTCCCACAGTTCCTAGTTAAATATGCAAGTTTTTGCCATGCAATCCAGGACGTCCAGGGATTCTTGCAGAAGAACCTGAGATTTTCCATGCTCAGAGTTTCTTCTTTCTCTTAATCTGAAAAATTTCTTGTACCTCCGTTTTTGTACCTTTTGTACAAAACCTTTTGATTGCGCAGAGGTTGATAGTCCCTGTCTCCATAAATCAGACATACAAATTAATGTTATTTTCTCGTGAACAGAAGGCTGTATTTTTGTTAGTGACATAATCAGAAAATTATTAAACAAAACAATAAATCTCAGTATGACATTTCAAATTTTTAATATGTGCTTTGCTTCAGATTTCACTGCAAATTTTGTTTCTGTTCAAAAGTAAGAATTTTCAAAGTTTTTCTTTTCACTTGTAGAATTCTAGCTTTTGCTTTACAGAATAAAATGTTTTTCATCAGAATAACAGCAGAATGTTAGGTCTCTTCTGGAAAGAGCTTTCAATCCATACATGAGTAGATTATCCCAGGTACGAACAGCAAGTTGCTGATTTTTCATGTGAGCTGTGGTATGTAAGAGAAGTAATAATAATTAAAATGATAAAAAATAATGAAAGTAGACTAGTGAGCAAAAATTCTTTCTCCCTTCCAATACTCAAATTCTTTGAAGTAGGTTCAGAGTGAACAAAAGGAAGTATTTCTTTATGTTGCATACAGGTAAGCTGTGCAGCTGCAGGATGTTGTGGATGCAAAAAGTTTATGCCAGTTCAAGCATTGCTTAGACAAACTCAAAACTTGGATTTACACAGATGCCAAATTCAATTCAAGAAATTCTTGACACAAAAAATCACTGGAGACAGTGGATGAATGAGTGCTATGTGTATGTCCGTCCTTTTTATGCTCTCTGACATAGTCACCTGCTGTTGGCCAGTGTTGAAATTTATCCTGAATGGATAGAATTTTGCCCCAATCCATTATGCCTGCCCTGATGTCCTAAAATAATTACAGGAACATTCATAGCATGTATTTCTAAGAGTTAATGTAGAAAATAACTACTTTTTCTAAAGCTTTAATCATTTTCTCTTGCAATATTTCAACTCCGTCATCACAGCTGGTAACAAAAAATTCTTGCTTTGTGCAAATTTTTGTTTAGAAATGCAGTCAACAAAGCTGAGTTTATCCTTCTATTTCATATGATGCTGTATTTATGATTTATTAAACAGTGTTTCTCACAAGAGAGACTTGCATTGTTCTTGAGATTTGATCTCTCTCAGTTTTCTTGGTTTCTGCAATAAGTATGTTTAAAATATTACTGGAAGGTTTTTTTCATATTGCTCACATACTTCACAATGCAGATTAAAAACCCCACAAGGGCTGTGCTAGCCAACAAATATTGTTCTCAGCCATGGGTCACCATTTTGCTCTTAAAGACTAAACTTCTTTTTCCTTGAACACTATATAACATTTAGTATTGCAAAAGGGAAAGCTACTTTTACAGTTTCTCCTTATCATATTTCATGACAATAAATTAAAGACAGGAAAGTGAAACAGAGCAAATAGACTATATAGGCAACTTTTCACTGATACCTGTATGGAAACAAATACTGCCGTATTCGCAGTATATTACTGGCGTTCTCATGTTTGCTCTTTTTCATAAATATAAATGAAGAGTAAATCTAGAGTATATATTTACATAGGAAGGAAACACAATGAAAATTCTGTAAAAACAGAAATGAGATTGGATGCATTAATGAATGGCAAAGTACGGCACTGGTTTTGCTTTTCTGATAATGGGTGTTCTC